AAGAAAAAAGATCTGCCCGTTACACACTTTCTAGAGCCCTAAGATGCTGAGACTCCGAAGGCAGCCCCCATAACCCTGAAAGACCACCCCCAGGAGAAACCAGCTTGGCCACAACGCCATCATCAAGTTTCCCCTGACCACTTTGCCAGCCATGAAGAAAACGGCATACGTTGTTCATAGTGGATGTCAACACACACACACACACACACACACACACACACACACACACACACGATCCAACAAGCTGCGAAGCAGCTATACAACACTGATGGTGCCAAGCCCAACACCTAGATTACATTCTGATAGAAGGCCTGTGCTTATCTGGCTCCAGACTAGGATGGTTTAGATGCCGATAATAAAGTTGGGATCATCTACATGGAGTCCAGCATAATGCTAGGAACGGCGGAGGGTCTAGTGAAAGAGGGGAAGACCCTCCACCAGGTAGACTGACGTGGTGACTGCTGTAATGGGTTCTACCATGTCAGGAAGCATGAGGATGGCACAAAATAAGAACAGGGTTCAGATCTTTTGTCGCTATACGTCGTACCCGACTTCTAACAACAACAGAGTCTGGCTTGCTAATTCTAAATAGGAAATTTTTTTTTCACACAGAAGACACACACACACACACACAAAGAATGTCCCTCCTTCTCTGAGCTTGTGAATGACCAGAAATGTGCCTGCTTCAAATACACCAGCACCACTGCTTAGAACTGTACCTCCAGAGCTCCCACAGAAGAGTCCAAAGAAAGAACAGAAATTAGACAGATGAAATAGTATCTCTGGGCACATGCAGAAGTCCAATGAACTAGCAGAGGAATTCATTCTCTCCACACACTTAAAAGCCAGAAAATATAAAACACATTTCACTGGGGTGAAATCAAACAATTAAAACAGGGTGTGCAAAACCACAGGTAAGATTAGGCTGGATCATTTTCAAGTTCTGGTCAGGACATTCCAACATTAAACCTAGAGAAGTAAGGTCGAGGATGGGACTGAGAGATCATGGAGCCCAGATCTGGGGGAACATAAGAGAGTGGTGTAGGCATCCTTACCACTAAAAAGTATGGCGACAGAAAAAGCCTAGAATGGAGGGATTAGGAAATTATTATGCTTCTGAAAACTATTAAAGGAGCCTCCTCTTTCTGCTCCCCGCTGGGGAATGTCAGTTCTCCAAAACATAACAGGTCACCCCCAAGTTTCTATCCATTATCACCAACGTACAGGTGAGAGACCTCTGCTCCAGGACTCACCAGGTTCTTTCTCCACCTTCTCTAGAAAACATCTTCACAGTCCCCACTAAATCACTTCAAAAAGTGTGTTCCAAACAGGAAAAGAACACAGGGTCATTTGAAGGCAGGTGTATAACGTCTCTGGTCCACAGTCCCCTTCACAGGGGCTGTCATCATTTCCCTTGGGATCGACCAAAAAGCACAAAGGTCCCTCTTGGTCCTCAGATGCCCGGGACCAGACACGGGTACTGCACCTGAGACCTGAAACGGATCACGAAGAGGAAACAGTGTCGAGTCCACAAGGAGGAGAGAGGATTTTGACTTTGTTCATTTGGCTTCGCTTGTAGGGAGCTGTGCTGTTGACGTCACAGTTTCATCTTGGGAAGGTGGGGTGCCTATGAATTGATCAGCAAGTCTGAAGACAAAATATAGGGACTGTCCTCTTGCATGACTGATTGACAGTCTTGGAAAACACAGTAACTTTACTCCAGTCCTTTGACAGTGAGTTTGCTTTTTGAGTTTCCAAGCCCCTGGAGACACTCTACTAAGACGGTTATGCCGTTAAGGTAGAGCAGGCTTGAGCCTCCAAAGTCTCCTAGATTTTTGTCACGAAGTTGCAGGAACCTTTTACCAACAAAATGACACAAGGAGAAATTCACTCATCCCAGATCAAATTAGGAAATTAGGCCAAACCAGCCAGGAAAAGAGGACCCTGACTGCCACCCATTCTGTTATGAGCAATAGTGCTCATAGGCAGAAATGTTCAAAAAGACGGTAGGAAGAGGTAATACAGACACAATCCCAAATGTTCTGATACAACAGTGATTCTTCTCAACATTGTCAAAGCTGGAGAGGAGGGAAATATCAAGATGACAAACGCAGTGCTTGATCTCTGCTACATAAAATGCAAGGAACTCAGGTACAATTTTCTGTACTCAAGATTGCTTCTTCTCAAAACATACAAATGTCTCTACAGGACGTGAAAGAGAAAGAAAAATCAATGCTCCAAAGGCAGCAGTTTCTGCTAGTGTGACAGAAATACCTGGAAACTTGTAATAAGTACGGGTGCACCACATGGCTGCGTAAAAGAGGTTGCAAGTGGAAAAATATTAGATATAACACAAATTTTTTTTAGAGGGAAGAGGGAAGGAGTGCCTCATAAAATGAAACCATCTGAAAATAGGGAAAAATGATTAAAACTATAGGAAGTTACTGCTTAACACCACTGCTTTAAAATAAAACTGAAAAGGGACGTTGTGGGGAAAACAGGAAAAGAGTGCATAGAAAAAAACGAACACTGGAATAAGAACTCAGGCGGAAAAGAACTGTCCGACTGTCAGAAAGAAAATCTATCATTAACTATTATATGTATGTCAAGGATCTGGAAGAAGAGGTACATTGCAAAGCGGGCTAGGGACCAGTGCACACAGCCAAACTTGGAACAATGAATGAATGATAAAAAAACAAGCACACAAAACTACTATGAGATATCATGTCAGCCCAGTCAGAATAGCAAAATTTTTAAACTTATTTTATTTTATTATTTTTGCGTGAGTGTACCGTCAAATCAGATCTGACTGTTACAGGAGGAGATTGTCCCTCCTTCCCCGGCAGAGCATCTGGTGGATTCGAACCGTGAGCCTCTGGCATTGTAGTTGCAGCTCCTTACCACTAGGCCACCAGAGCTCCCCTCTTTTTTTAAAAAAATTTTTTTTTTATAGAATAGCAAAATTTAACAGAGCAGCAAACAACAAACGTGGGAGAGGTTGCGGAGAAACTGGAACCCTTATTCACTATTGGTGGGAGTGTAAAATGGTGCAACCATTATGCAAGGCTCTTTGGCATTCTGTCAAAAAGTTGCAAAGAGAAATACCATTTGACCCAGCATTTCCACTACTGGGAATTTGCCCTAAAGAAACCAAAACTACCACCGAAGCAGATATATGCACACCCATGTTTATCACTGCTTTGTTCACAACAGCAAAGAGCTGGAAACAACCCAAGTGCCCATCCACAAAGGAATGAATAGAGAAGCTGTGGTATATGCGCACAATGGAATACTATGCTGCACTGAAAAACAAGGAACCCATGCAATATTATACAAAATGGGTGAGCTTGGAGGACATTATGCTGATGAAATATCTCAGTCACAAAAGGACAAATACTGCATAGTGCCACTGTTGTAAAATGGGACTGACCTCGGGACTGGGGTGAGACTGAGAAAGATGGGATAAATTAAGTATACTGCATTGAAACAGATGAGAGAGAGAACTGTTTGAAAGAAATCTATTATTAGGTTTTACTGTCATGACAGGAATCCAGAATGAAGGCTGCATAGTGGAGCAGACTTGACGGTAGGGATTATATAAAAATGAAAAAATGTTTTACTTTTCAAAAAGAACAAACTGGAGGGGAGAGGTGGACAGGGAGATAAGTGTAATAATAATTGATTAGAAGCCCTAAAGTTTCTTTACAGAAACTTTCATTAAAATTCATAAAAACAACAAATACACACACACACACAAATAAATTAAATGCTAAAACCTAAAAGTCCTGGGTAGAACAATTAAAAAAAGGAAGCAAGAAGTATTGAGAAATGTGAGATATAGCTAGAAAACGGGCTACTTCAAAGACTGCACAACAAACGAAAGTTTTATGTACAGAAAAACAGCTTTTGCAAGGCTGCTTGTAACGCATTAATTTTCAGGTGATTGCACCACAACATTAAGACAAAAAAAGCGAAGCTATTCTTAACAACGTTAAAAAAAAAAAAAGTCAGTATTATGAACATTTTCTCTCTTCTTGATTTTAGAAACCACGCAGTGTAGCTCTGATCAATAAATGTAATTTTTCTGTCCATTTCCCGGTCTGGACCCAAACTCTGTGATCCACAGGACACGTATTAAACACAATTCCTATTCTTCAATTTGAAAATGGACACTCCTATCCCTGCCTCCCGCCCAGGGCGCGAGCGGTGACCCCCAGGTGGCGCGGGGTGTGAAGCCCTGAGCACAGCGTCCAACTCTCCCGCCCTCGCACTGATCACCACGCTGGTCCTAGGCACACACTCACCTCCCGACCCCC